CTGGTTGCTAGAATGTCAATTTTTTGCAACATTGCTCATCATATTTGAATTTCCTACATAATTATTTTGATGATCCGACAAAATTATCTTCAGATTTCTGTCTTCAGCAAAATTGTTGTTTACGTGTACGTATTTATTTTTTTATTTAAATTAATTTCAAGACCGAAAATTTAATTACGATAAGTGATAATCGTTGCAATCATAATATTAACTACTATTATTACTGCTAATTACTATCAAATATCTCAATTAATATTACTCTTATAAATATAAATATATAAATATAACAACTCCACAATTCTAATTTTTATTATAATTACTATTATAACTCTGTTTCTATAGATATACTTCTAATCTATAGAATAATTAACAATGATCGTAGTCGCTATATACATACAGAATCATATCGGGATCACTGCCGATTATTATTGCATATTTCGATTAATTCGTGCGCATATAGGCTTAACCACAGCATAAGCTATTGACTGTACATGTAATATGTGTGCATTAAGGATACCAATTACCACTGCGTCTATCAATTAATTTATATCTGTAATATTAGGAAAATAACAACTACGATATTAATTACATGATTGTGTACATAACATGTACGTACATTAGCACTACACAATACTAAAATTATGTTAATTAAAATTACCTTAGCAAGTAAGTCAGGCATGTAATATTATAGAATAACAAATGCAATATTTTACAATAATCATTTTGCAAAAAATGCATAAATCTGCACAAAAATACATACATTTAGATCACAGCTAACATATAATATCGATACAATTACTTTTAATTATTACTGCTTCGATTACTTTGATTCATGCATTCTTTAAACGTAACGTAACGACTAGCTACACTATTTCATAATTTTGATCCACAGAATTAAACAGTAATCGCGACCAATAAAATATTGTGATTACAGTTAATTATCATATTATCACATGTTTCTATTTAACTCGTGCATATATAATTTTACAAACATAACTGCCATAACATTAACTACAACTATTTCATATTCTAATTTCCAAAATAGTAATCGCAGTCAACATAGAATACCACAATCATTGTTAATTACTACAATATCTTGTATTTCGATTAATCCATGCATATGTAATTTTATAAATAATAGTATAAACATAATACCAATAATAATAAGCTATTTCGTATTTTTAATCTAGACTGACAGAACAACTGAATAATCATCATGATCAAAAGAAATCAATAGAATATCGTAAAATCATTACCAATTATTAGCACATATCTCGATTAATACACATATAATTTTCTAAACACAACTTTAATAATCACAACGTCAATTATAGCTTTAATATTTTTAATATTTTTAATTTATAGAATGATTGAAAAATGATCACAGTTAATACGAAATATCGTAATTACTCATTCATCGCCAATTATTAGCATGTATCTCGATTAATTCATGCACACATAATTTTTTTAATAATTGTAATAATCGTATATTAATTACAGCTATTAACTACATATTATATATTAAATCCACATATTAACAAATTATTAGCTATCAATTACTTAATTACTAGCACATATTTCAATTGACTGATGTATATAATATTATAAAAATAATAACATTAATTGTAGCTACTTCTCTTTTTCTAATCAAAACAATTAGACAATAATTGTGGCAATTATCGCTGCAAATTAAATTTACTTTCGATTAAAGGAGTTTTCTACTTTATCATATTGTTTTTAAAAAAAGAAGGTTTTAGGAATTTTTTTGAAAAATTTTGGTAAATATTTTTTGAAATTACTTTTTGTTCTTTATTTATTATTATTTAAACTATTATTATTTAAACTAGATCTGCTATTTTTTTCTATATAATACATGAAAAATTTACAGATTTTTGTGTACAATGGTATGTATGGCTCATTCTGCAATTATGATTCCAGATTCTCAATGGATTAAAATTACAAAATAAGACTTCATTTTAATCAAAATATTTACTGCTATCGTCGGAATTAGAATTATTTATTTCACATAATAAATAAATAGACTTTGTTTAAAAAGTGCAGTTTTAACATTTTTATGTTTGGGAGCTCTGAAAAAATAGAAAAAAATTAACAATATAATATATTATAGGACTGTATATGTGTGATAACATAAACTATAGAAATCAAAACCTTAAACAGTTTAGCTGGATCTTAAACGCTTGTGTGATTCTTGTGAATGCTTGAGTGAATTTATAGACTACGTATGTAGTTCTCAAAAATGCGCGCCGAAATGATTTTTCTTTATTAATTATTAAAATCTGTAAATAA